GTAGAGCCAAGAGGCAAGACCTCGTAACTCTTTCAGGAATCTCCGATTCTGTCGGTGAAGGTTTATGAGGTGTGGATAATCTGGAGCTAGGGCTTTACTTAAAGATAGTGGGATTTTATCATTTTCCGATTCAGAAATGGGAAATCTGTCGGAGGATTTCGATATCGAGGATCTGATGTCTTATGGAGACGATTTGATTAACTTATTGAATGATAAAAATGGGTTTGATGTGGTATCTCAGAGTTTTGAGCACTTACGAGCTCTCAATTTCGCTTGCGACGAGGATTTCAATCAGATACAGAGCTCTATTGAAGGTCAGTTTTTCCGATTTGGGTCTCTAGAAATTTTCAAAAGACTGATAATTTAGCTGGAGATTGTCTGGTCATTGTTTTGATTTGAGTGTTAGTGTTCGATACTTGAGTGAGAAATGTTGGGGGCTTTCTTCTGTTTTGACGCAGATTGTAAGAAGAAGGTTGATGCTTGCAAGAAGAAAACTGAGGAAGCGTATTCAAATGTTGAGGCTGGTGATGAAATTGAACGCCTTCAGAACGAGCTTGACGAAGAGTTGGAACTAGAGTGCAAGCTAAAGGACGAGCTTAGATAAGTGTAGTATTTATTTCAGTGAGATTATTCTAGCCCGTCTGGTTCTTTAGTGACATGAAAGATCTCTGCTTTATATGTGGTTCTGTCAATACAGCTGTTGCTGATGAACTCAAAGACCTGAATGCTCAAAGGGCATCGATTGATGAACAGAGGGAATCTATAAAGAGAAAGAAACGCGACGACTTGAGAGCTGAGTAAGATCCACAAATCCATTATTGCCATTGTTTCTTCTGAATGTTGGTACATTTCTTTTCTTGGAGTAAAGGCATCCTCTTTTATGTTCCCTCTTTTTTATCTGCAGGAAAAAGCTATCTATGTATGCTTCTGTCACAAAAGTTATACCGGACTTTAGTGATCTATCGAAGATCTCAGGCTGTATCCTTTTCTTTCACCATTTCTTTCTACTTTCGTTAGTCACGAGTCTCGTTTGCTTTTGTTAGTGTGTTTGCATCCTTGATTTAAATGTTCAATAGATATGGTAGATCGCGAAAAAAGGGTAATTGAGAAGTTTCAGTTCGAGACAAATACGATGACGGACTATGAGATATGTAACAGTGTTTGGAGCATTATAAACAAGCAATAAACAGAGCAGTTGGCACCAATTCAGCTGTTTGATATGTATTGGTTTTAGCTTGGCGACCAAAACCTCTTTACCTACGGTTCCTTAGATGGAAAACCTCTCTGCTGTGTTTACTTTGGCCATCTTGTAATTTGATTATGAATCTTCTTCTCCTGTAATATCGTCACCATCTATGATAATTTCCCTTGCAAGTGTCTGTACTACTCTATGTGTGCGGTGTATCTGTAAAATCCAAAACCTTCAGTTCTTGTTGCAGCTGCTACTGCCATTAGCGAGATTCGACACACTACAGCTTCTGCGACAAAGTGTCCACTTATTTTTGCATCATCGATTCCGGAAGTACTTGAAGACTCAGCTTCAGCATCTGCTTCTGAGGGTTTTTTTTTTGGTCCTGAATGTACGTTTCCATGTGTATTTACTGTTTGGTTGTGCAACAGATAGGTCCTGTGTTGGTCTCTTGTACTGTTTTGGATGGGAGATTATGTAATCAGTTTTTAACGAGAAGCCTTCATTTCACAAGACGTTGCCTTCAGGCTCTGCCATAGTTTATATACTTCCTTGTTTGAGAGAATTGTGACCGAAATAATGCTTCGATTCGGTTGAGATTTGGGAACAAATGTTCTTGATATCTTAGACGATAGTTCTGGCTCAGATCTGGGGTTGATCTTGACTCATCCTAACCGTAAAATTAACTTGTTTGATTCATCTATATATACGAATAACCCCTACAAAAAAATCCTATTCAATCTTGGTTGATTCAATTCAAACAAGTGACATCAAATAAAAATTAGGATTGAAACAAGAGAAAAGTCAATTCATCATACAGTCGTTGCATATATACACCAAAGAACACATTTGCATACCAAATAAAATGATAGTATTACCAAAACAGTGGTGCATTCATCAGACAGTGACAGCAAGAACTTTCACCAAATCACATGAAGGGACTCTAAGCACATGATCACACCACTCAACTTTCCCCCAAATTGCACCGCTTTTGGGCCTTTCAAGCGTAATCTCCGCACACCAAATCATCTTCTCAGGGTATGAACAATAATAATACAATATCTCGTCCCACAAAACCGCCATCTTCCCACCATAATTAGCCAATCTAACACAAGCACCCTGAGGAAACTTCCGTAGTCCTATCAAACCCTTCAACTTTCTCCACTTGCTTACCTCACTGTCATACCATCTGAAAGCTCCGTCAGAAGCAGAAGCAGAGTAAAAAACATTAATTCTCTATCTCGCAATAAGAATCTTCATGCATAAAATCATCCATCCCTGCTTTTCCCAGCCCTCTTTGTTCAGTCACGTCCCATTTCCCTTCCTTGGAATTGTAAGCAACCGCCCTTTTGCTAGGGGAAGTTATCAAGTGAAACTTTCCGTTAATACACGCGGTTTTGTCGAAATTATCGCCATTCGTGACGCTGCAAGGGATGGGCTCAGGTTCCCAAATTTGTGTTTCTGTGTCGAACACTTGGATCGAGTTCTTCACGGAATTGATATCGCCATCTCTGCAGCATTCTGCTACATATATCTTTCGATCGAGGCCTGAAGCTGAAAATGCTATTAGATTCACCCGCAAGCCTGAAGCCTCGCTCCAGGTGTGAGACCGACAATCAAGAATAGAGAAGCTAAACGAGGTCAAAAAGAAGGATCCGCGTTCAGCAAGGTTGTAGATACAAGAACCAACCAACATATTATGGGATAACTCATAATAAGTGCAATATTTGGCTTCGGAGGGGATCGTTTCAAGCGTTTAGAAGGTTTCTTGGCGATGTTAGAACAATTTTTTTTAGATAGACGGCAAATAAGATTTCATTTTCTCACCGTGAGTTGATTATAAAGTAGATTTTGTTTATTTGTTGTGAGATACATATAAATGTTCACATATCGTCAAACAAAAGTACCCCCTCGTGCTCCTGCATCTTGGCCTTGTGAAACAAACAAATGTAGATTCTGTTTAGGTTGTTTGGTTTTCCAAAAAAAAAAAAAAATGTAAATCTTCCAAATGCTTTAGAAAAAAGAATCATACCTGATTCTCATATTTCTGTTGCATTTCATGACGGAATGATCCAAGCTTGAAAGCAGATACTAAGGTATNGGAGAAAAAAAAAACAAAAACAAATCACAAATTCGTGTTTTTCTTTCTCAAAAACGAACAAAAAAAGTATAATCTCAAGATAATATACGGATGATACCAGCAGCAACGCAACCCAAATATCCAGTCACAAATCCACTGGTGAGAGAAGCATAATTCACGTCCGTCATATTAAAAACAACTGAAAAGAACAATCACAAATTAAAACCCTAATACGAATTACATCTCAACGAGTTTGATGTAGAATCTTACCACCGGATGACGAAGAGAATTGGCGGCGAGTCAAAGCCGATCTACCTCCGCGAGCGATGACGGACCTCAGAATGATTCGGCTCATGGTCAGAAATTAGGGTTCGTCTCTGATTTTGTTTTTCTTTGCCTCTTACTACAAGTTTGCAACTAAAGCACAGAGGAGTTTTTGTGATTGGGAAACACATACATATATTTGCCTTGGGCCTTTCGAATAAAATCAACCACTTACGCTGTTGGGCCCAACTAACCCGATCCAGTCCACTAATATTAATTAATCCTCCTCCTTCACCTATTTGACAAAAGAAAAAACTGACTAGTTAATGGATTTGGAAAACTAGAATAGGACCGTATTAATACGCGAGTAAATACAATAAAATTTAATGAACAAAAATTTTAATTTTAATTAATAACCCATGAACTTTAAAATATTATTTAACGTAAATCTTAATATCAGTAGAAGTCAGTTTATATCATAATTCTCATGCTTTAATCCATATCATGCAAATCCAAAAATATATATAATCGAATTTAAATTATATTCTTAATAACATAAAAACATATATTGTAACTCATTTTGAATATTTATGAATTTTGTGATAGAATTAAAAATAATTTAAATACTATATAGTTAAATCACAAAAAGTAAAATTTATGTTAGTTACCTCATAAAAACTACAAATATTGTTGTGAACCATTACATAAGTACATGATTGATAATTGTATTTTATTATTGTTATCGTTTTACTTTTCATAAAAATTTATACTCACCAAACTTTATACAGTATTAACTTCATATTAAATATAATATTAATATATTTTTTAACTTATATATTTTTCAGTATATACATTTGGAGAGTACCAATGCCGTCATAGGTAAAAAAAATTTATTATTTTGTGATATTCTATAACTCTATTTTTTCAAGAGAAATTTTTAAAAATGCCACTTTTCAAAAATGCCACATTTTCAAAATCTTTGTAAAAATGCCGCTTTTTCAAAAAGTAATTTATAAATTTTTATTAGGGTTTATAATTTTAAGATTAGGCTTTAAAGTTTTAGAATTAGTGACATTTTTCCAAATGGGCACCCCTAAGTGGCATTTTTGCAAATGTACACACCAAAAATGACATTTTTGCAATTGTCCATTTTCTCAATTATATATACTTTTTATTTATTTATTGTTTAACTTAATGGAAATTTTTGTTTTTTTTAATATTTTGTCACTCTTTGGTTAACTATTTTTTTTTTCCATTTTCCATTTGTCTTTCTTTCTTATCTTTTAATTACTTATTTTTCCTATTCTTGAATGATTTATGTTTATGTATTTTTTTGATTTTGTTTGATGTCTTGAAAATTTTGTATTTTATGTTATGACACTTTTTTTTTAAAACGTTTTTCCCTTTTTTTTAAAGAAATATTTTTCCTTATTATTTTTTTTTGTTAATTGGCACGTGTCATCATCTCGTTAATAGTATACACATGTCGCGATGCGGTGAATTACAATTTTTCCTATGTGTCAAGCTCTCATCTTGCGCATCCTCCTTTATATAATACTAGAATAGGACCCGCGTTAATACGCGGGTAAATACAATAAAATTTTTATTTTAATTAGTAACCCGTCGAATTTTAAAATACTATTTAACATTTGACCAAAAATACTATTTAACGTATATCCTAACACCAGTAGAATTCTCATGTTTTAATCCATATCATGCAAATCAAA